TAGGATAAAAATCCTTGTTCTTCCTCTTTCTTCTTTGATTCTGCATAAATGCTTCACTTGGAGATTCTCTTGCTGCCTTCGATTCTTAGAACCATAATCAATGTAGGTTCCAACACTCCCCTCTAAATTGGTTCTGGTTGTCATGGCAAGCAAACTTCTCAGATAATTGAATCTTTCCTTTGGAAGTGCTTTTGTGAAAATATTTGTGATTTGATCTTCTATCTTGCAGTAGTGTAGCTTGATTCTATTCTCTTGCAATGCTTCTCTAATGAAATGATATCTCATCTTTATGTGCCATGTTTTCTGATGGAATATTGGGTTTTTAGTCATGGCGATTGTTGAGGTGTTGTCATATAGAATAGGTGTGGCATCAACTTGTAATTCTCCAAAGTCTTTGAGTTTGAATCTTAGCCAGATGGATTCAAATGTTGCCTCTAAGGCACTCACATACTTTGCCTCAGCAGTAGACAATGTAACACTTTGCTGTTTCACACAAGCCCAAGAGAAAACCCTTGAACTGAAAGTAAAAGCATGTCTTTATGTTCTTTTGCAATCATCTTCACAGTCTCCCCATTCACTATCACAAAATCCAACTAGGACAACTGACGTTCCCATTTCCTACTTGATTCCATGCTTTGCACGTATCTCAGCACTCTCTTAGCAGTTTTCCATATGAATCTTGGTGGGATTCTACATAAATTTTGAGAGCAAACTTGCTAAAAACATCAAATCAAGCCTTGTTGCAGTTAGATACAATAGACTGCCAACAATGCTTCTCTAGAGGTTTGAATCCACTGATTCACTTCCATTATCCTTCTTAAGGTTCTCATTTGCATTTAGAGGTGTAGACACAGGTTTGCCACCTTTCAAACCAAACTTTTCAAGTAAGGTTTAAGCATACTTCTTTTGATGAATAATGATGTTATTTGCTTTCTGTATTACCCTAATGCCAGGAACTGCTATAAGAGACATGGATCAGTCATCTCATACCTCTTCATCATTTCTTCCTTGAATTGTGCACTCATAGTTTCATCATTTCCAATGTAGACTACATCATCCACATAAATTGACACAATGAGAGTTTTGTTGTTGCCCTTTGATTTAGTGTAGAGTATAGCTTCGCTAGGACTTTTTTGGAGTCATTTCTTAGTGAAATATGAGTCAATCTCACTGTACCAAGCTCTTGGATCTTGCTTTAGTCCATAGAGTGCCTTTTTAGCTTGTACACATTCTCTCAGGACTCTTCACTTGTGAACCCTTGAGGCTGTTCCACAAACATTTCCTCTTCTAACACTCCATTTAAGAATGCAAATTTCACATCCAGTTGACGTAGCTTCCAACCTTTTAGGCTGCTAGGGCAATCACAGTTCTTATAGTGTTTAACCTTGCTACTGGAGCAACGGTTTCATTGAAGTCTACACCAAGTTTTTATAAGTAGCCTTTAGCTACTTATCTGGCTTTTTTTTTTTTTTGCACATAACCATCAAGGTTCAATTTGGTTTTGTAAAACCATTTCACCCCTATTATTGGCTTGTCACTTGGTCTGTGTACTTATTCCTTTGTGTTATTCTTCTCTATCATTGCCAATTCTTCTTTCATTGCCTTCTTCCAAGACTTGTCCTTCTCAGCTTCCTCATAAGTCTCAGGTTCCACTAGACAATAGTTACAGGTGGCATATATTTCTTCCAAGCTCCTTAATCGTACTAGAGTTAAGCTTGGTGGTGTAATCTGTGAGTGGTTGGATCATGGACTCATGCTTGTTGGTTGTGGTGTCATTTATGACCCACTGTCTTTTGTGATTCTTCATGAATTGAGTCTACTCTAGGTTGTCTTATTTGCCTATTGTTGAGATCAAGTTGTAGAGAGACAATGTCTTTCTCTTCTACTCTTGTTTTCCAATTCCATATGGAGCATTCATTAAAGATAATATCCTTTGATAAGTTTATCTTTTGAGTTGATAAGTTAAAGATCATGTAGCCTTTCTCACTTGTGCCATACCTCATAAAGACACAATTGTTGCTTCACATTTCCAGCTTTTACCTTTGCTGCAGAGGGATATGAGCATAACATACTAAGCTAAATACTCTAAGATATTTTATAGATGATCTTTTACCACTGAACACTTCAAATGATGTCTTCTTATCCAATGTTTTGTTAAGGCACCTATTAAGAAGGTACACTGCATTATTCACTGCTCCACCTTAGAAAGAATAGGGCATAGTCTTTTCATGTATCATAGACTTAGCCATTTCAACTATAGTTTTGTTTTGTTTGTTTTTTTTATTTTTTTTCTGCAATGCCATTTTGCTATGGTGAGTATACCACTGTGAGTTGCTTCACCAAACTCACACCTTCACAGAGTAAGCTGAATTCTTATGAAGTATACTTTCTTTCCTTATCATTTCTCATCTTCTTCATTTGATGTCCACTTTGCAGCTCCACCATACCTTTAAATTTCTTAAAAATTGTGAAGACCTCTGATTTGAACCTCATGAAATACACCCAACACATCCTTGAGTAGTCATCAATAAAGGTTAGGAAATATATGGTCCCATTGATTTTTGGCGTAGGACCATACACACATCAGTGTGAATCAATTCAAGTGGCATAGTTGCTCTCCAAGCTTTGCTAGCTTCAAATGGATCTCTGTGGTGTTTTCCAAATACACACCCTTCACATTTTCACTACAGTCATCCAATTCTGGTATACCCTACATCACTTCATGTTTTTGTAGATTTAAATGACCAAGTCTTTTGTGTCATAGCTTCATAGAACCTGTCACACTTGCTTTCCTTGCCACTTCTTCAAGATATCTCAAAATAAGTGGAAAGTTTATATTTTTCACTTCCATTCTAGTTACTAGGTTTAAGAGAGACCTGTTGTCAAATATCTTAATCATAGTTCCTCCAAAGAGTACAAAATAGCCGTGCTCCATCATTTGACCAACACTAAGTAGGTTTTCATCCAATCTGGGCACTAGCATAACTTCCCTTATGTATCTTTTCCCCTTTTTGGCTTCAGTAACTAGAGTTCTTCTAGTGGCTTTAACAATGTTTCCATTTCCCATTTTCACTTTCCCTGTGAAAACAATGTCAATATCAATAAGAAATGACTCATGTGAAGTTATATTTTTACTGCAACCACATTCAATATACCACACTTCATTGCTTTTCTCAATTTTGGCATTGAATGTACATAACACATTTGCCTCTTCTTTCATTTGATTTGCGCAGTTTACTTGTTGTACATTTTTTGACTTGCAATCCTTCGTGAGATGCCCAAACTTGTTGCACTTGTGAAATTTAGGCTTTGCTCTTGAACCACCACTCTCCAAAATAGAGTTTATCATAGTGATTGCACAACTTTTTGGTTTTAGGACCTTCACTGGTGGTACTACTATAGTTAGGTTTGGGGTTTTGATACTCTTTTCCTTCCTATTTCTTAAACTTGCCCATCCATTGTGATTTTTTTTGCTTGCACCAGCTTGACCACTAGACCCAATGTTAAGAGACTGCAAAGCTCTCTAAGTAGCAGTGTCAGCTTGCCTTTCAAGTCTTTGATCAAAAACTCTCAAGGATGCCATAACATCTTGCACACTAAGAGTATGTGTCCTTTGTTTCTTCAATCACACTCACCATTGAATCATAAGGTTTAGTCAAACTAATCGACAATTTTTGGACAACTCTTTCATTTGGCAGTTCTTCACCATAAGTTTTCATTTGGTTTATAACATCAAATGGTCTAGAGAAATAGTCTTTCAAAGGTTCATTTCCCCTCATTCTTGTATATTCAAAATCTCTTGGGATTGAAGTTTTACCTTTCTCAATTTAGTGTCTCCTCTGTATTCTTGTTGTAAAACATCCTAAGCATCTTTTGTAGCTTCTTCATTTGCTATTCTAGGAAATATGAGATTTGACTCAACTCCTTGGATGATTCCAAGAGCTCTAGCATCATTCATCTAATTCTCCTTCAGTTTGGTAGCCTATTTTTCTGTGAGGTACACCAAAGCATCAACCTCCAACTCTAGTAGCTCAAACCCATACTGGACCATATGACTTGAAGATAGTAGTCATCCTTATCCTCCAAAAGTCACAGTTTTCACCATCAAATACAAGAGCCTTTAGCTCACTACTGTTGGATCCTTTCATTTGCAGGCTTGATATTTGATTCCTAAGGTTTCAAACACTATCTGAGTGTTCCCAAGAATACCAAAAATACACAGGAACGCCCAGAAATAAAGAAAGATAAAAAAAATTAGGCTCTAAGGCCATGATAAATTTTGTTGCTTTTGTATATTTTGGTTTTACTGTTTTATTGATTTCTAGGGACATGAGAATGAATAAAGGAATAAGGAGCGTTGCAGGTTTGTGATGGCTACAAGGCTATGCAAATGCATCAACCATATTTTGATTTATATAGAGAACGTTTGTAGGGTTTTGGTACATTCCTAACTCACGAACTTATCTCAAAATATGCTAGGAGACAAATTTGTACTATAAAATACACCTGGCATTCTCCAGATTTAATCCTAGCCCTTCATTGGGGTTTTAAGTGATCTAATTTAGAGTGTACACTTGTCAATTGACTACATAACCAAAAGCTTTAAACCAAAAACTAGCAGTTAGGATAGAAACCCTTGTTCTTCCTCTTTCTTCTTCGATTCTACAGCAACACTTCACTTGCTGCCTTTGATTCTTGGAACCAGAATCAATTTAGGTTCCAACAAAAAGGAAGCCATGGGTTGCAGATAATTTTGCCTGCATTATACATGTACCGTATGGAATCTATGGACAAACGATTTCAGCGGTTTCAACTTAGTGCAGAATTGTGATCGTATCAGATATGAAGATTGCGAATAACCACACTTCCGTTCGAAACCAAATTGCCAGAGAAGCATGCAGTATTGACACAAGTGCAGTTTCAATGTTGTTTACACTCGCTGAAATACCATTAGAGAAAACTTAATCGCACAATAATAATCGAAGTGCAAAAGGAGAAAATGGAGAAGCGAAAATAGTTTTTCTTCAAAAAATTGCCAGAGAAGATATGCATGTCGATCATGTGGATGTGATCATACGGGGGGTCCAAAAGCCAATGAACACAGGGCTGACGTATAATACAATATATATAGGTAAAGAAGAAAAACACATCTCTCTCTCTCTCTCTAATTAAGCAGAACCTCCAATATTCCTTGGAGTGTATAACAACACTGGTCTTCCATCCAGTTCTTGAGTTGGCCTTGCATTCGCCTCATATCCCTGAAAATGACAAACACGTGGTTAAACTTCAACTGCGCAACACAGAGATTAAACAAGGAAAAAGTGTAATATTTTAACGAGCAAGTCGCAAGGTTCTGGATCAAATAATCAACCCTACAACGAGTTCGTGATCATTATGTGTTTAGATTCAACCGAATTAATTCCAAATACTTACATCATGAACCGCCTCCCGTAGTGCATGCACTTGCTCCCTTGAAACTGTCCTGACCTACAGAAAGAAGAGCAATATTAGCAAGCAAGTCTTTGGAATCAAGTAGGGTTAAGGAGATGAGCTACAAGGAGAAATACCTTTTTGACGATTGTCCAAATTACACCCTCAGTGCATGGAGGAACGGTAAGAGAACCGATATATCTGTAGTACTTTCTGCTTCCAAACTTAATATCTCCAGGATTAATAATCCCTATGTCAACCTCTTCTTTTCCAACTGATTTTATGTGGTGGAACAGCTGAAGGATTGAATGGATTGCAAAGTAAAATAAATAAATAAAGTGAATAAACCAGGAAACAATCAGGCATGAAGAATGAAATGATATAGCTGCTTAAATTTCAAAAGTTCCGTGGCTTGTTGTACTTTCGTTTCATGAGAAGAATTGAAGCCACAACTCCTACTAGTATTATACACTCTTCTCTGATATGTGTCACGACAACTCCTACTAGTATTTAAACGTAACCATAAACCACTGAGTTTTTCTACATTGTTGCATTGAGCTTACGTCCATTACCTTAAACTTATGAATGTTAGAGGCAAACAGAGAGAGATATACCTTTGAAAGGAGGGGATCAGGTCGACCATATTTGTACACAATTCCAATAACAGCAATCTTTCTGGTAGAGCTTACATGAACGATATGAAACTCCAAAGCATACCTGTAAAGAAGATTAAAGGAAGAAAGACATCAACAGCAGTAAGACGGGGTTATACTAATATGAAAGAAAATGAGAAGAAAGAAAACACAAAAAACAATAAGAAAACCTTGATCCGTTAAATGTGTGTTCGGAGGGTGAATGCCAATGACATTGTAGCAGTCTATAGTCAGTCCCATTTATCTTGATTTTTCCTGCATCTCCATTCCACCTCATCTGATAACAATTTCATGTTGAAAACAACTAAAAACTGTCAATTCTTCAACACATTCAATTTCTTTTATTGAAGTTCAAGTCATTGGAAAAATTTTAAATATAATAACAACATCATGCCTATGAGTAAGAATATGGAAGACGGAGAATGAAAAGAGTAGACACTTAGGTGCGGAGTAGCTCACCGTGATGTCATGACCTCGGTTCTTCACAATAGCAGGAGCTGGTTTGTATTCCCTTTTCAGTTTCCCCAATTTAGGGAAAACCTTCACCCTTTGGTCAAGAAGATTAATTGGAGATTGCATTTTTCCGTTGTCACAAACTTTCCATTGTGGGTCAATTTGGCCCCATTTCTTTGGTCCTTTACCAGTTCCTTCAAGATAAGTAAATGCAGTTTCATCACCTGCCCATATATGATAAAACAGGTTAGTTACATCACAAAGGTACTGTGCTCCGAGAGTCTTCTCTTACTATTTCTACATGTTATGTGCATTTCCACACTGAAACGTTTTAGAATGTTAATAATGAATAAAGTTAAAGTTCCACCATAAAATAAATTAACAATACGTTATTGTCCAACTCCTTATAAGCTCATGCAAATTCCCTACTCTCCCCGATGTGAGATTCATTCTCTCAATAGTTAATGCTCAAAGTAAGAACTAGAATGGGTTTCCCCATCTTAGATCACTTAACCGTAATCAAAATAGCAGGAATTAAATTGAGGAGGAATTGAATTGAGGAGAAGTAGGAATGAGGAGGAATCAGAATTGGATTCTTATTGAAGATGTTTACTTGAATGTTATGGAATCAAAACAAAAATGGTATTGATTTCATTTGTACTATTTACTAGTTCACAGAAATTGAAATGCATACCACTATGATTACTAAAATGCCTTTATTTATATAATAATTAATTGGATTATTTTTTAAAGTAAATTAGTTATATTATTATGACCAAGAACATGACAATAATGATTTTTAATACACTTGATTTTGTTGAACATTTATAAAATTTGAAAATTTTGAATTCTTTTGTTTATGGGCTGGTTAAAGAGAGAAGAAAGTTCAAGATAACATAACCAGCACAAGAGATGGAGACAGAATGGTGCTATGTAGCAAGGAAGGGGTGGGCAGGGAAACTGAAACTTCAGAAATTATTTAAGGGCATAATGGGCAAGACAAGTTGATTCCCTATTTCGGGCTTCACCCGAAATTGAAATACTATTTCCATCCAAGGAGTTCAATTCCTCCACTTTGGAGGAATTGAATTCTAAATTTGTGTGGACCCCATATTTTTTTTATTCTCTAATATTTAGTAAACGCAAGAGTAACTCCTAATCGGAATCCATCTCTGTCATTTGATTCCGATTACGGTTACGTAAACACACAATTAATGTGTATGAAACTTCAAAATATGCCTACTTCCCATATTTACATTCTCTCTCTCTCTCTCTCTCTCAAATTTTCTTTCAGCGACAAAATAAAATATTGGATGATGTAGATTAAAACAAAAAAAAAAGGATTAAAATAATTAGAAATAAAAAGTTTGAAAGAAATTAAGAATAATTCAATTAATCTATGACAGATAGAAAGAAGAGAAGCTAAAACTCCAAGCACACCAAAAACACATATGGCCAAAAAGAGACTGTTTTAAGCACATGAATTGCTACCTAAAAGTTGATTCCGTAATAATCCTGAAGTATGTAAGCTCCTTCTAACAAGAACGTCCAAAGTAGGTTACCCAAAAATTTAAATCACCTCTGATCGAATCACATGCATACTTTAAAAATTGGTCCTACATGTTAAAGATGCATTATTGACTTGATTAACAAATAATACTTTCATAAGATTGATAATAACTGACAATGGAGATCAAGAGAAGGAATATATACCTTAACTCCTGGTACATCATTGTGGCATCCCAAATAAAAAAACGTGATGTCATGCATTTGAACTTTCTCACATGAGATTACATTATTAATCAGGATGTTACAGTGACGTACCAAAATGTAGGTAAGGTAAGTCTATTCACCAAACAGCAAGGAATCATAAGTAACAATGGTAAAACGTTGGTGAGGGTGCAATTAAACCCTTTTGATGACTAAATTCCATTAATATTATAAAGTTTGTCAAATAAGAGTTCATAACCAATGGGTAATTTTCACCAATAAGGAAAATCCAATTAAATCAAAATGAATTCTTGGGGCCTCATTACCTGATTGATCGACCCCATATAAGAATCTTAATTAAAAGTACCTTTATAGACCCAAAACCCAATGGAGGATGGAGGATCAGTAAAACTTATTTATATTGTTAAGGGGACTTCAATTTCAAAGTACCTGTCTTGATCCTGGGTTCCTTATGACTTCACATGACAAAATATTTAAGGCAAATGGAGCCCCCATTTCCAGCATATTACTATACAATTTGTACGTGTGTAGAGAGAGAGAGAGAGAGAGAGAGAGAGAGAGAGAGAGAGGTATTACCAACTTCATCAGAGTCCTCAAGTGCTGCACTGCAAATGGTGAAAAAGGAGTGATGGGACGAAAAGATGAGAGAAGCTAGAAAGAAAAAGAAGAAGAAGATGGGTTTGGTCATGGCTGTGTGCTCTTTTAACGATCATCGATATTCTCTTTTGGGTTTTGGTGAGTTTTGGTGATGGAAGTGGCATGTCAGAAGAAAAGACTATATATATATATATATATATACAGAGAGAGAGAGAGAGAGAGAGAGAGAGAGAGAGAGAGATAGCGCATTTTTCAAACCAACTGAGGATTTCCATGGCAAGCAATTTTCAAACCAACTGAGGATTTCCATGGCAAGCAATTAGCGGCTTTTGCTTAACCCACGCTCTGTTAATGTTTACGAGGTAACGGCTAATTGTGCTGTCATCTCTTGGCTTCACACCTACTGGGAACTACCGCTGTAAGTAACGGTAAGTTGGTAACTATCACAACGGTTACATACTTTGATTAGAACAACAATTTTGTGGGAGAGGGATCAAAGGTGGAACCAAAATCCAAAAAGGAATCAAAGTAGGTAATTTCCCAAATCTGAAAAATTTGGTCATTGACTTTCAATTTTTCCTCGTAGACTAAGGCTGGTTCGGTATTGCTGTACTTTGAAAAAAAACTGCTTCTGCTGTGCTGTGAGAATAAGTGAAATAAAGCAGCAAAATGTTTGGTAAACTTTTTTGTAAAAGTGCTTTTGAAAAAAAAAAAATATTATAATGTTTGGTAAATTTTTATGTAAAACAGATATGAAACAAAACCGGTTTCTCAAAGCTGGGTTTTGCAGCTTCTTGTTTTTGGCTTTTTTTCATCCAAAACTGTGAAAAAAAGCTAAGATGAATGTTTACCAAACACAAAAACAGCTCCCAGCTTTTTTTGATACCAGCTTTTTTCAGAATCATCTCAATACTAAACCAGGCATAATCATAATAATTTTAAGCATGTTGTTGTTGAGCGGTGGAATAATTATGATTTGGAAAAAATGGTGCACCTCTCAAGTGGTGCTTTGACCAAATATGGACCAATTGGTAGACATTTTAATTGAGGAAGAAAATCCAAGATGAATGCTTTTTTCGTTCATTTTGTGTTGACTAGATGTGTAATCGTGCGATCAATTGACAAAGTAATTGCTTGAATGACGAAAGCGTCCTAACCTAAAGTAAAAGCTCTTTCCTCTCTCAACAGCGAATCTTGATTGACTAACACTAGGAGACGATTCGGAGAAACAAGAAGCATGGCATGACATTCGCAGCGGAATAAATTAAGCATTATGTCTAAGTTGAGTAACTTGTCTAGAAAGCTGTATGAAAAGAATAAATTAGTTTTTGGTCCATAGTAATTGAGAGGATTTTGGCTAGAATGCAAGGGATGACTCTTTGTAGAAGATATTCACCATTCTTAATTCAACTAAAGCATAATTATTTTAGAAATAATTTTTTTTAGGGGTGAGCTATCCACACACTCTATTTTACTTCTCACTCATCCCTTAATAATTTATGTCTGTTGATCTTCTTCAATTCATCCGATCCGATGGTCGAAAATTTAAAAAGTGTGTGAGAAGTAAAATGGAGTGTGTGGATATCACATCCTTTTTTTTTATTGGGTTTTTGTTTGGGTCAAAATTTTTATTGTGTTAAAGTGAATGGGCATATATGGTAGTTTTGCTACCCAATTATGGACGAGGAAACTTGGCTGTATAAACGAAATTGAAGGAGCAAGCTGAAATAGCGCTGTGATAATGGTTAAAAAGCGTACTTAGTAAAATATATAAATTTGCTTGGTACTAATCGATCATCTATCTTAGTTGGAAAAAATATGCATGATGACGTCTATTTTCATTTAACATTCATTGAATCGAAGTGGGTTGGCCAATCCTAGCTAACCAACAATGATAATACGACTTTACCCTTAAGTATGAATTTCCATCAAAATAAGAAGTTGAATTTCTAATATCGTGTGAGCCACACTTGTATTTTCATCCTCAGTATTTATGAACACAATAGTGTTCCGTAATAAATTCAAATCCTTATTATATTCTGATTACAGATAAGTAAAAAAGCCATGCAAAATTTGCAAATTGCAATTGGAGAAGGAATGATTTTTGGGCCGAGATGCCTTTAACATATGGGCCTAGGCTCGCCTCTTCTCAAAAGAAAAGCATAATTTGCTAAAACAAAATAATAAAGAAAAGCCTAACCTAGAAAATCAAAACCCTCCTCCTTCTCGTGTTTCTTTCCGTCTCTCCGCCTCCCGCTGTCGCCGCCAAATCCAGTAGCACGCCCACTGACCATGGCGGAGTACGACTTAACTCCACGAATGGCGCCCAACCTAGACCGGCATCTGGTTTTTCCCCTCCTCGAATTCCTGCAGGAGCGGCAGATGTACCCAGATGAGCAGATCCTCAAGTCCAAGATCGAGCTCCTCAACAAGACCAACATGGTCGATTACGCCATGGACATCCACAAGTCCCTCTATCACACCGAAGATGTGCCCCACGGTGAATTATATACACACCCATTATGTATTTATAGGTTTATATGTGTGTTTTTGTATATTTATTTATGCATGTGTACACATCCATTATGTGTTTGACAATTTGTCTCTGTGGATATTTAGATATGGTGGATAGGAGGGTAGAGGTGGTGGCTCGCCTCAAGGCTCTGGAGGAGTCGCAGCGCCCCTTGTCAATTTCTTGCAGAACGCCGCGGCGTTTCAGGAGCTGAAGGCTGACAAGCAGTACAATCTACAGATGCTCAATGACCGATACCAGGTAGCCCCAGTTCTTTTTTCCTTTTAATTGTTCAAACCCAGGATTAGAATCAAACAATTTGAAAGAGTAATAGCATACGGGGTTAATATATGCAAGATTTACAGATGTTATCTTGGAAAAAATATCAAATTATTTAAATGGAAAAAGTTCTAATTTTTGTGTGGTTTTTATTAATTTTATTGAACAAGGTTTTGCATAAGGTTAACTCTCTTGGCATGGCTGTCTGAACAGATTGGTCCAGAACAGATCGAGGCGTTGTATCAGTATGCAAAATTTCAGTTTGAATGTGGTAACTACTCTGGTGCTGCTGATTATCTCTATCAGTACAGGGCTTTGTGCACAAACAGTGACAGGAATCTGAGTGCATTGTGGGGAAAGCTGGCGGCTGAGATATTGATGCAGAACTGGGATATTGCCCTTGAAGAGCTTAACCGCTTGAAAGAAATTATTGATTCAAAGGTTTATATTTTCTTCATGCACCGACTTTTTTATTTAAATGTGCATTTTATTCTTTGGAATTCCAATATAAAGGTAGGTGATTTTTGTTGCAGAGTTTCAGTTCACCTATGAATCAAGTGCAAAATAGAATATGGTTGATGCACTGGAGTCTCTTCATATTTTTCAACCATGATAACGGGAGAACACAGATCATTGACCTTTTCAATCAGGACAAGTATGTCATCTGCCCCTATTGATTTGACTGTAATGCTTTCACTGTACATTTACCTCTTGCTTTACCAATTGTTAAAAGACTAAAACAACCCAGAATACATATGTATCTCTTTTCTTACTGTCTAGCCCTGAAGGCTTAGAACTTTCAAATCATCTTTTGTTCTAATTGATGTATTTATACCCTTCATCATTCTATTTTAACTAATGGTGCTGCTACTTCTGCTCTGGTATTGATCTGTAAATGTGACACCCCGTGCTTTTGCTGTTGTAACATTGATAATTGTTTGCGTCTACTGAATGGGTAGTGTCAGCATATTGTCCTGAACAAGATACATTTATTAGGCATTTAAAAATGTTAAGAAAAAGAATATGGTTATTACTGCACAATCCTAATGGCTTTACTTAGTTGAGATGCCATAAAGTTAGTGGTGTTGATGTGTAAATGCATTTTACATCTGGGTGGAGTGTAGCCTTTTTGGATAAGATGCCATTAATTTAGTGGTTTGATCACTGTATTAGACAGTATGGATGGCTTTTTTAAGCTTCATGCATTATAACAGACATCCCGTGGAAAATTGATTTCTACCGAACACCAAGTGACTTGGTATTTTATGGTTATTTCCTGATAGAAATGTTAATTTTTTTTTTTTCTAGGTATCTGAATGCCATTCAAACCCATGCTCCTCATCTTGTGCGTTACTTAGCCACTGCATTCATTGTCAATAAGAGGAGGAGACCTCAGTTCAAGGATTTTATAAAGGTTATTCAGCAGGAACAGCATTCTTATAAAGATCCCATCACAGAGTTTTTGACCTGCGTTTATGTTAATTATGACTTTGATGGTGCGCAAAAGAAGATGAGGGAGTGTGAAGAAGTAAGCGCCTGAACCCATATTGGCTTGCTTGTTGATAACCCTTGACATGTTTCAAATTCAAATTTCACTTTTTTCCGACCCTTGCGTAACTTAAATGAGTGTTTCATTGTAAATTTGACTTCTGCTGTATCTCTATTCCTGCTTGAGAACTTGATTTGTATTAACTCTTTCGTCTAAGCCAATGACTATTGATTTGACAATGTGGTTGTGTGACACTGTAGGTAATCTTGAATGATCCTTTCCTTGGAAAACGAGTAGAAGAAGGGAATTTCTCTACTGTACCACTGAGGGATGAGTTCCTTGAAAATGCTCGTTTATTTATCTTTGAGACATACTGTCGTATACATCAGCGCATTGACATGGGGTAAGTAATTGCTTCTTTGTATTTGGTTGTGTACTTTTTCTTTGGTCGACATCATTATTTTGCTTCCTATCCACCATTCAAAGTGGTATATGAATTGATTAAGTCATGTCAGAGTTCACTTTTTCTTTGGTTTTTTTATCTTTGTTAAGACTTTTTTTTAGGAGTATGGGTCACAAGGCACAGGTAAAGTCATAGGTCTTTAGATTGTTCGGTGCAATTTGACTGGTCTCTCAACATATTTGTTTGTCCGTCGTCAAGAGCTTGGGAGATAGAGTAATGTGTGTGAGGGTTTTCACTTGATTCAAAATGTCAGGGCGTTATTGTGTAATTTTGGTGCATGCCTTTTGTTTTCATATGTGAAGTGTACAGATGATGTCTTGTGTTTAGTTTTCGTTAGAATTTTTGGCAAACCTAATTGACTTTATTTTCCATTACTTTTCGTATTTCTTTTGCCCTTAGAAAGGGAACTTTCTTTCTTCACTCTTTTCAACAAATAATAAATCTAATAGAATTGTGGTTTGGCAGAGTGCTTGCAGAGAAATTAAACTTGAATTATGAGGAGGCTGAAAGATGGATTGTGAATCTAATTCGGAGCTCAAAGCTTGATGCGAAGATTGACTCGGAGTCAGGAACTGTTATCATGGAACCTAACCATCCGAATGTGTAAGTTCATTGAACATTAGCTGCCTGGTTTTCCCAAGGTTTTCCTAGTTTCATTTTTCTTGACCTATTCTTAAATGTATTACTTCAATGTTTCCAGGTATGAGCAACTGATAGACCACACCAAGGCATTATCGGGGCGTACTTACAAGTTGGTTGGTCAGATCCTGGAACATGCTCAGGCACAGATTGCTCGTTGAATTTGGCGGTGAATTTTATCCGAAATTATTCGTTTTCATTTCCTAGATATC